TAGACCATTAAGAATAGAAACAAATACAATTATTAATTCTCAATTAAAATTACAAATGTACTAGTTTTATACGGATTTATTTTGGTATTTTCGCTTATGTTTTATGTATTGGAATTTTTTATTTAAACATGAAAAATCGAAATTTTTTTGACTAAATTTTGATTTGATTTTAATTATTAAAAAAATGGTAAAAATTGATTTATTTCTTTTTAGAAAAAACATCAACACTTTAGAATGTTTTCAACCAAAATGCAATTTCAAATGTGAAATTGATAAAAAAATTCTTCAAAATAATTTTTCATCTAGTCTTAATAATAAATTAATTTTAAAAGAATATGTGAATATTTTGATAGAGCATTATTCAAGAGATCATATTATTCAATATCAAAAATTTAAAGATCATGTTATTATTAGAAATGCAAATCATTATTTATATGATAGATTATATTTTGATAATAGAAATAATCTTCGATTAGCATATAATGGTATTAAAAAATCAGGAAGAAGACCGGCACCGTTGAGTAATGATGAAAGAAAAAATAGAAATGTAATAGCTCAAAGACGTCACCAGGATAAAATACAAAAATATTTGAATGCATTAGAAGAAGAATGTGAATCAAATAGAAATCTGGAAGAAAATGTGAAAAAAATGAAATTGGAAAATGAACATATGAAAAAAGAATTGGAAAATTATTTAAAACAAATTGAAGATTTGAAAAGAAATAATGAAATATTGAGTAACGAAAATCGAAATTTAAATGAATCAATAACTGAATCGAATGAAGAAGTTCAAAAACTTAATAAAAATTTAAAAGATTATCAAGATGCTAATAATGAATTTGTTGAATATAATAAAGAAATGATGAAAGAGATCGAAAAATTGAAAAATCAAATTAACAAACGTGATGAAGAATTAGATCGAATTAAAATTGAAAACGAAGAGTTGAGAAAACGAATTGATGAAAATGTTACGAATAACGAAATGTTGATTGAAAATATCGGATTAACAAGTATTGATGAAAATGTTATGAATAACGAAATAGTGATTGAAAATATTGGATTAATGAACGAAATGATTAACGAAGATTGGAAAATATTTCCATGCGATTTTAAACCAGTTCTTTATGAAGAAAATATTGAAGAAAATAAAGATTTGTTAAATACTTCATTAAATATTAGTAATTTATATAATTTAGATAATCAAATTAATTTTGAAGAATTTACTAATACGATGAGGATGATGAATATAATTAACAACGATCTATTTCAATTATAAATTATTTTATTAATTTATCATTTATTTATATTTATTTTTTTTTTCGTATTTTTTAAATTGTTTTTTTTATTTTCATTCTTTTATTATATTAACATGAATAAACGAAAATTTGAATATAAATCTAATAACGAAAAAAAAATCAAAACTGATAATGTAAACTTAACAGAAGAACAAAAGAAAGTGGTTGATATAGTTTTAAAAGGTGAATCGATTTTTTACACAGGTTCTGCTGGAGTTGGAAAGAGTTATTTGTTAAGATATCTTATTAAAGAATTAAAATTAAAATATCGAGAAAAATATAATGTTGCGGTAACAGCCAGTACTTCGATTGCGGCGTTAAATATCAATGGTGTTACTATTCATAATTATTCTCAGATTGGTATTATGAATAGGAGTAAGGGTGATATTATCAAAAAAATAAGTTTTTTAAAAATCGGATAATTTATACCAAGGTGTTGATTATTGATGAGATATCAATGTTAAGTTGTGATGCGTTTGAATTGATAAATGAAATCTTACAAGAAATTCGTAGAAATCAGAATCCGTTTGGAGGTGTGCAGTTAATTGTAACAGGTGATTTTTTTCAATTACCGCCTATTCCAAATAAAGGAGATAAGAGAAAACCTTATGATTTGTACGTTTTTTTAAGTAAAATTTGGAACCAAACATTTCATCAACATATAAATTTACAACAGGTTATTAGACAATCGGATAAGTTCGTGATAAACGGATTAAATAAGTTAAGATTAGGAATTATCGAATCAGATTTCTTAGAATATATCAAAGGATTGGATCGAGAATTGATTTGTGAAAAGATTATTTTACTGAAGCTGATTACAAATTTAATTGTAATTTATGCAAAAAAGATATTCATATCAGAAATGCCGGGGCTTTGAAAAGGCATTTAAAGAACGATCATGAAGTTATTGAAAATAATGATATTAAATACGAACCAATGATTTTATTTTCTGATAAGAATTCTGCAAAATTTCATAATTATAACAAATTACATTCTTTAAAAGGAAAAAGAATTTTAGAATTTTATTCAAATGATTGGAGTATAGCTAAAGATAAGGAAAAGA